AAGAATAATCAGTTAGCACTAAACTTATTTTCTGCTTTCCAGGTGTATTTGGAAGGAGTGCACCACCAAAAGCCAAAATACCGTGTCACTGTGCTAATTATTGGAACAGGCTTAATAGTTGGCGTTACCTTGTTTTTGCTTCTTTCATTTCTATTATGGAAGGTAGGTTTTCCAGTGTTTCGCAGTTGTTCTCAAGTCAGGAATTCACACTGTTGGGCAATCTTTGGATCTGTTAATGCAGGTTAAAGGATAAATAATATTTTATTATGATCTGTCCTTTCTAAAGAAACTTAATTCCTCCTGTAACTTGTTTTTTCAAAATACTTCTCCATTTTCCTTCATTTTATCTTCTGTTATTCAACACCAGAAACCCTTTCCTGTGTTTTATATAGCATCTCATGTTTGCAAATTATTTATATAATTTAGTGATACCAAATGGATTATTTTTGTGGGATGGTGCTGCACAGTTAAGGCGATGACTAACAGTCTACAACATAGTTTTGTGCCAGGATAAAATGTTTAAGATTTTAAACTGCAACATAAATGCTAAAAAAATTCTGTGCATAAGTAAACTATGGAGGATGCAGCTTTTCTAACAAGCGATTAAGAGACTATGAACTTCTTTACTTGCATGCAGACTTTCTCCATCCATCGTTTTTCCCAGGGAAGTGTAGAAATGAAACAAATTTAACAGGAAAGTTTTATTATCATTTCACATTTTAAAAAATACTAGACTGTGGACTGCTACAGTTCACAAGCCCACATGTCTTTACTCCTCAGAGGAGAGTATTAGCCTCCCAAAATGTAAAAGAAAAAGCAAACCCGTTTTTTTGATTGATGAGTAACACTTGATTACTTGGTATGAGAAAGCAATGGCAAATACATCGTTCATAAACACCGTATGTATGCATTTTGGTTTAGTTCACCTTTTATGTTTTAGATTTGATGACAGAGATTTGCTGACAACAGATCCCAAATTTATGTTATTTCAGATTGGCTTTTTCAAAAGGCAATACAAACCAGTCCCTCAAGACAAGAACAGAAGAGACAGCTGGAGTTTTACAAGTGGAAACAAAGATGACTAACATGGCAAATAAACGTTTGATTTTAAAATGAAGAATTTAAGATTCAGGTTAATTCACAGGAGAAACATCAGTGACAAGAAAACTGGTCTTGAGCTCACTCACTCTTACAAAATATACTTTATTTCCTTGAACCGTATGGAGGACTACACCTTAGAGTACTGTTGTTTTTCTAATATGAAAAAGTTTGTTTTGAAGTCTCACAGTAATATTTGAAATGCCATATACATATACATCTGGTTTCAAACAGACAGAAGAACACTAAAGGTAAAGAGAAGAAGAATTACTTACCAGAAAGAAGAATTTCTAGGAAGTAATATCATGTGGCCAATCCTGGAAAATAAGGTCTCAAACAGATTAGCATGAGTTATTCTATTCATTTGCAAGTTTCAATAATCTTTTGATTAGACATTCAAGAAGAAATCCTCCCTCATCTTGCTTTGGCAGTTTTACAAGGATAAACTAGCTTAGACCAATAGAAGGACCATTAAGTTGAGCGCATGGATGTAGAAAATGGTTATCAGCAGCTCTCTTGAGCTTCTGAAGGCAACCTCGTAAGCTTTGGCTTCACAGGCAGAGCCACAGACAGCAGGCAAGCCAGAACCAGGAAGGTCAAAGGTAGATTCAGAGCAGGGAATTCTGTGGGGTAGCCTGGAGATGCAGCACAGAATCCTCTCTCAGCTGTAGAGAGAGTAATGTATTGGAGCTCATAATTTGTAGCCATCTTTAACAGGGTACTTGCAAGCATGACAGAATTAGTTGTTTCATCCTTGCCTCAGGTGTTGCTGCCATGATGTTTTGGACTTCTCCAGTGAGACATTTCTATGTGGGGGTTTTAAAGCAAGTATTTATTTTTATTTATTTGAAGATTTTTCTATAGTATTTAGCATCATACTATTTAGTACTGTCATTCTTTCAGGACCTGAACAAAAAGGCTTCACACGATGGCAAAAAACAGAGAAACACATACCCAAAAGACGCCAAATGCCAATCTTACTGGGCCAAATTTTGTCTTTAGATGTGCCATCCCTTACCTGGAAGTACTTAATTAGGAAGTCATTTGGAGAGCTAGCTTGGGTTCTCGTGACGTTTTCAGAGAAATACCATCCAAACAGGCATCCCCAGAAGCCGCTCAGCGGAAAGGCAAATGACTGAATAGAAATAATGGTTCAAACCACTGCTCTGCTACTACAGGAAGTTTCTTCAGCTAGATAAGTTTGCACTGCCACCTAGCTTTGGTGAAATAGCACAATCCAGGGAAAAAAAAAAAAACATTACTTTGCTCCCCAGTACAACTGGAGAACATGCAACTCCTTCAATAACAGAATTTATTGCAACAGCAGTACGCGATAGGGCCTTTCTTGCTGTGCCTTTGATGTCTTTCTGAACTGCAAGGAGAAACGAATGTAATGTGTACGTACACGTCAAAGCTGCTCCGTCATATGGGAATGAGCCTGATACTCAAAAGTGATACAGAGTGCCTTCAACAATCACTTTTGCTAAGGGAGTGGCTGGTGCCATAAAAGTCACATTGTCTGCAGATTCTAAAGGTATTGGGGACCATTTTGTAATTTCTTTTCACTTCATTTGACACGAAAGATGTGGATCACTGAAATAAATTTTCTCTCTAAAATCTTCTGCAGTATAAGGACAAGTGAATGTGCATGTATTTTTTTAAAAACATCAAAATAAAGTATGTGAAGAATGAAATATTTTCTTGCAAGTCTATGAAAATATACACAAAATGCTTATCTTCCAAATGGCTTTAGTGAATTTTTGCACTTTAAACAAAATGTCTTTGAACAGAAATTGGTTTGATGTTACAGCATATTGTGAAAAATATACCTCAAATACTGGAATAAGCATTAACATTCTTCTTAGTACAAACAATGCAAAGAAATGAAACTAAAGCATTTTATATTTATCTTTGAAAAGGTTTACATAAGTCAGTACGTGTGATAATGTTGCCTTGGAAATTGTGTACTTCCTATTCAGATTTTATTAACAACATGTAAATGTCTGCCTGTTCTTGGGATGTGAAACAAAATTCAGTTAGCTTTTATAAACCAGATTGACAAAAAATGAATGTACAATGTCCTGATGGTGACAAGGTTATAAAGTGTCACTCAATTTGATTTTATTCAAAAGAACCCCAACAAGTTAAGCACATGAATGTTGCTCCTTCTGCAAGTTCAATTATTTTGTTAATTTTCAATTATGTAATAAAACTTGTTAAATCTACTAAACACAGCTGGAATCTCCTTCTTAGACAACTTCAGGAAGTTTAGTTTGAATTGTCCAAACATGTTTGATGTGATATAGTAACAATTATAGTAGTTTAACTGGAGGCTGCTCACCGTGACTCAGACAATGGATATAAGCTGTAAGGAGAGGTTCCAACTGGACATGAGGAAAAACATTTTCCTCATGAGGACCACCAGGCATCAGAACAGGGGTGTAGAGAGGTGGTGTCATCTCCATCCTTGGAGGTTTCAAGGCCGGACTGGATGAAGCCCTGAGCTACCAGATCTGATCTCATAGCTGGATCCGCTCTGAGCAGGAGGTTGGGCTGGAGCCCTGCCGAGGCCCTGTCCAGCCCAAGGGATGCTGCAAGTCTGATCCTGCTCTGCAGCTACTAACTCCAGTGAGAAGGGCAGAACTAGCTGTAAGATTCCTATAATAATTAAGTGTCTATGAAGAAGACATTTGATTGCTTATGAATTTAGCTTTCATTACTGGCCAGGTTTGTCTGCAGAAACTGCATGAGATTTCCAACAAGTAACAGCTTGTTCTTAGGAGACAAATAATCATCTGCAGTACTTCTTTCTCTTGTGTATTTATCAAAGGTAAGAATTTTTCACAATAGTATTTAAAATGGAATAAAACATAGTAGTCATCTATAGCTACTATGTAAAGGCTTAGGCCCTTGATTTAACAAAATCTTAAAGGACTGGATTTCACATTGTACTCGACTGCTTACTGAAGAAAGAAATCAAAACAACTCATTCTGGCCAGGAGACAGCACAGCTTTCATACTATTACTTCTCAGCCGCCTTCAGAACAATTCATAGATAAGTGACCAGAAAAACGTTCATTATCCCCATGGTCCTGCAGATGGACAAACTTGACAGTCTGCTACGTTTCATCATCTCAGAGAAAGCCAGTTCCCAAAAAGAATATAGTCTTAATTTGCTGTCATCTCAAATAATTGTATGAAGTAAGTTACAAGAAAATCAAACACTCATAATGTTTATGCCCTATAAGGAAGTTATAAAAATTTAAGTCAACTCCTAGTTATTTATCATAACTTTATTCTCAGGAACAACAAAAACTATGCTGAATACCATTTCATTTCTAGGATAGATAAAATATTTTTTAATATTTTGTACAAATAGTAGTCTTTAAAATACATTTCAACAAAGAAAAGCTGTATATCCTAGAACATAAGACATCAGCATATTCTTTTATATTACTGTTTGACTAGAAACAATTTGAAAGCAAATACATTAAGGCAACATTAACAATGATAACTAGAAATAGAAGTACTTACTTGATTTTACAAATAAATAAACAAATCTATACTTTGCCACCATTCTTCAGCATGAGGAATACCTCCACTCACCAGCTCTGTCTGAACTGAGTTACCTGACAACATGGATAGCAGCAGCAGACTTAAAATTATCTCATACTATATTTATTGCAAAAACTAGAATAATTTTAAAGAAAAAAATTTTTTTCTTCTACTCTGATGGACACCTCTTGAATCCCAAATCTATAAGACAGCAATATGATCAGTTTTCATTTTTTATTGTTAAGCCTAACAGTTTCTTTAAAGTTAAATACAACCTGATAAAAATATATAACTTGATAAAAACCTGAAATCAGATGTAATACAAACATTCCAGTTAAGCTTCTGCCACAACTGAATTCAGTGAGTGAAAGACTAGGACCCTGCAAAGCTGTGCACAGAGGTGAGGAAAAGGATTCTTTAATACAGAACTTGCAGTGTGTCCCTTCTATATGCAATTGCATGTTGCTTGGGAATTCTCCAGGTCATCAGTGTTCACTCCATAGAGATTAATAAGTTGAGGATGCACCCTGTGAAGGGAGGAAGTCAAACTTTATCAATTTCATTAACTCTTGCAATGGGTGTGCCACTGTTTGGGGTTGGGCGGGGAACGAATAAGTATGAACTACTACATGGAATAAAATCAGGTGAATTACATTTTGGTGATTCCTATAAGGCCATCTTTAGAAGTGTATATTATATATTCTGTAATATAATCTGCCTTTTATTTTACATACCAGACTGTTACTCTGAGCTGTGCCTTCAAATAATCCTGTGTGCATTGCAAAAGAATAAGCCACCGCCCATTTAATTCCAGTAATAATCCTATTTCCCTTTGTATTCATAATCTCTTTCTTAGATCCTAGATATGGAGACTATTCTCAAGCAGCACTAAGTTTCCACAATTAAACAACTACCTGGTTTTATTAACCTTACACACCCTGCTTTCCAAAAGGAATCCCAAAAGGATTATCTCAACTGGAAATGGAGAAACATGGATTGAATGGATTGAGAGCAGCGTGGAGGAGAAGGACTAGGGTGTGTTGGTTGATGAGAAGCTCAACATGAGCCAGCAATGTGTGCTTGCAGCCCAGAAAGCCAACGGTGTCCTGGGCTGCATCCAAAGAAGAGTGGCCAGCAGGTCGAGGGAGGTGATTCTGCCCCTCTACTCTGCTCTCATGAGACCCCACCTGCAGTACTGCGTTCAGCTCTGAGGCCCCAAACACAAGAAGAACATGGAGCTGCTGGAGCAAGTCCACAGGAGGGCCACAAAGATGATCCGAGAGCTGGAGCACCTCTCCTATGAAGACCGGCTGAGAGAGTTGGGGTTTTTCAGCCTGGAGAAGAGAAGGCTCCAGGAAGACCTTCTAGCAGCCTTCCAGTACCTGAAGGGGGCCTACAAGAAAGCTGGAGAGGGACTTTTACAAGGGCGTGTAGTGACAGGACAAGGGGCAATGGATTTAAACTGAAAGAGGGCAGATTTTGATTAGATATAAGGAAGAAATTTTTTACTTTGAGGGTAGTGAACCACTGGCAGCGGTTGCCCGGAGAATTGTGGATGCCCCATCCCTGGAAGTGCTCAAGGCCAGGCTGGATGAGGTTTTGAGCAAACCTGATCTAGTGGGAGGTGTCCCAGTCCATGGCAGGGGGTTTGCAACTAGATAATCTTTAAGGTCCCTTCCAATACAAACCATGCTATGATTCTATGAAAAGGAGCTTCTCCCAGGAGTCACGGACCTTTATATACATCTGATCTCCTCTAAGAAACAGAAGAGTAAAGTAACGGGTAGGAAGAGAAGAAGTGGAGCTGGAAGCTGATGAAGCTCCAGAAAGAGAAGGCCATGTTACGTGGGTCATAACGAATCTTTCCAAAGATGGGCACAAGGCAACAGAGCAGAGGCCCGAACAATGGCAGAATGGCCAGACTGTGCAGTGCACACAGGGCTATTCTTACAGCATTTACAACACCCAATTTAGGCGTCATCTGTGTTATATACAGATGTGTTATATACATTTTTATATATGTGTGTGTATATATATTTATATATATGTATATACAGTTATATACGTATACTGTGTTATGTAGATTTAAGGTTGCAGTACTAATCTATTACGGGAATACAGTCCATCAACATAATACTTAGCCTTACCGAACATGAACTTCTGATGCTTCTTTCATTAAGTCTCCGTCTATATTCCAAGGGTAATTTCCTTCTGCAGAAGCAGCATTCAAACCTGTATTTTCCTTGGCATCAAGCCCATTTTTAAGCCTTGGTTGTACTTTTACTTCTTGAACTGTGTAGGTCTCAACAAAGGGAAAATTGAACTAAACCAAACAGATATATATTAAATGAAGATGAAAGATATAGGTGGTAGCTTAGCAACAAACTGGGTTACTTGAAATTAAAAAGCTTGCTTTTTTTTTTGTCTTAAGTAAATGGGAACACTTAACTCAAGCTTTGACCACATGAGGCATTAGATATTCTAGCTAGCATTTATAGATTAACATGCTATTTTTATCCTAAATAGTGCCTCAGAAAAAATGGTAGTGTTCCATTTGCATTCTCATATCCGACTTGCTCAATCTACAGGTCAAGTGGTATATTTTGCACATGCCAAAATGGCACATGCTTTCAGAATATGTGAAATTACAAGCAAATTTTTTCCTGTGCTCTGTTCATCATTACCAGTGATCCTGTCCTAAATGAGGCCAGTTAGAATTCTAGTAAATGGTCACCTAAAGTTTAAAGGAGGGTCCATATCTCCTTGTCTAATTTCAGACTACAAAGGCAGAGAGAAAAGCAAAGCCTTCCTCCAAAGCATAACTGGAAAGCATAAACTATTTCCTAAATGCAGCTGTTGGTGCTGTCACATGGATGCGTCATCCACCTCTCCCCCAAACTCTCTGACTGTCGACAAATTCCAACCTAAACCTTCTTGTTAAAATGATTTCACACATTTTAATGAGTACCAGAGTGCTTAGTCTATGCACTGGGTATTTAGGACAGCAATAAGGCACTGTGTGTGGATGCTTCACTTTTTTCACGATGTTGAAATGCAGTTCTGCAAATATTCATAACTGGACGGAATGCACACCTGCTCAAAATCAATGGTCTTAATCCACTGCTACCATCACAGCATGCAGTGATCTGCTGAAATTACGGACTTCACCTGTTTCTGACAGAGTTGCATGATGCACCCCCAGTCTGCATTCTTAATCTCTGTACCACACAAAATTTAAACACAGCATGCATTTCCTTTATTGTGGTGAAAGGGCTTTACACCCGTAAAACTCTAGTACAACACAAATACAATTTAAACCACAACAGATGGGCTGAAATAGGCTAATCGGTATTAGTCTAGTGATTTAAAAAAAAAAATATCAGATAAAAAGGGGGCTAATGTATTCTGACAGGAAGCTAAGTCTCCTTATGAGGATGCTAACATTAACTCTTGCAGCATGTCTACCTCCATGATTAACTGTTCTTACTATAATCACCAGAAAGAAATTAACAGTACCTGATTTTTTACGCTGGTGTATCTTTTCAGATGTTTTATAAATTCTGTTCGAGAAGTATTTTGTACAACAATAAGAGCCATGCTTCCATTATTCAACCTGAAAAGCAGATCAATTTAGTTCTCAAAAGGAAACTCATTAATTTGGAAGTTTAACAGGCTATTCATTAGTCTAGATTAGGGAAAAAAAAAAAAACTAGCAAGAGTAAATTAATAGAATAGTCTCAATATTTTTTTAAAATCTTTTTGCTACCCCCACCAACCTCCCATAGATCTATGCAATTGAGGTTGCACTGTAATAATAAAATTGTACACTGTATTACACTGTAATAATAAAATTGTACTCACTTATCAACATCCATAATTTATAGAACATAATACATAAAAAATTTAAAAAATGCTTTTCTACTGATCAGATGTTTTTTAAACATTGAGGATCACAAATTTATCTTTTTGGTTTTTTTCTCCAGCAGAGTATAATGATTACCACAAATGCTGTGAGGCAGAGCTTTACCAAGAAACCATTCCCATGATGCATGCAAGCACATCCCCATCATATAATGCCCAGTGCAGATGGATTCATTCACCTCCTCCAGCAACACTCCTGCTGCCCTAACAAAGATCCTGACCTTCAACTATGTCACCATTCAAACTTTCTTAGCAGTTCTCAGTACAGTTCTACTTACACATTTCACAAAGCACATAAAAGTTAAAAACTAAGGGAATTTTGTACAAAACAGTCATATATTAGAGGTTAATCAAGAAGAGACCCTACAAGTGCAGATACTCAGTGGTCCCAGATATCCAGTTGCCATTGATATTTTGGTATCTTTGAGAATTCAGGTCAGACAATGAGCGAGCATCAATTCACAGTTACAACAGAAACTTGTTGCAGAAGCCAACAACCTGAATCTCAATGCAATCATGCCTAAGTCCCGTTTAAGTTACAGAGACAAATCAATGTTCAACAAGAGTATCTGATGAACATGACAATGACTGCTGAGATTGTATTTTATACAGAGAAGGTGTATTTCATATCTCTGAATATATATGCACACATATATATTTATTTATTCAGTATGTATGCTTGGAAAATACATTAAGAATGTTTAAAAAAACACTCCCAGCCTACCACCACGGATCTCTTCACCACTCAAAGTTCTCTGGCTACTGAACATCATTCCTGCATCAGGAATGTTTCCAGACTATGATACTGCGCAATCTAGAAAGGTAATTTTGCATAACCATTAAACAGGTCACCTGGCATAGCATTACTTTGCTGATTTAGAAAACCATGATGCTGAAATTGAAAAAGTTGCCTCCTTATCATATTTGCTGCAATAAAAGGGCACAGCAGGCTATACTGGGCAATGCATTTGGCACTATGGCCTTTTATCTTCAGAGATTACTATGAATTCTCATTAATTCTCTTGAAAGTCTAATCTGCAGCGAAGCACAACGCCTAAGCTGTGAGAAATAAACATCCCACCTAGCTCACATAGCGCAGTTAAATGTAGCTTGACATGTTTCTGCAAATTTAGACTATTGTAACTAGAGTTACAGGCAGCAGTCAAAGTTTTCGTTCTACTTCAAATGTCTTCACATGGCAAAAATCCCTCGGGGAAAATAGGACAGAGTGAAGAAACCTAGTTGAGTTTAGCTGATGCTTCCATAATGGGTCTTGAGTCTCTAACAATTAGTGCAACATTTAATGTTCCCATGTTGAAAAGCCTTTCAGTCGAGATGCTGTTAACTATTAGAAATGAAGCATCTGTCTGAAGAGTCTACTCTTCCTACCCTACTTTCTGACCGCACTCCTAAGATTATTTTTAAAAAGAGGGGGAAAAAAAAGGATATATGAAAGGATAGGAGGATCCACTGAGCAACCACACTGTGGAAGAAACAGGCTCATTCAAACTTGCAATAATTGCATTGAGTTGTCATAAAATTCCCTGTCACTGAGAAACATGTTTCAGAACAGATGGAAAGAGAAAGCAAAGCTAAAAAAGAATAATTCCTTCAATTCTTGTCAGAGTTTTTCTGCTGACTGGTATATAACACTGTAAATGCTGAACAAAGTTCCTAAGAGGAGATAGCATCAGGGCACTATCTTGAGGTATACGAAGCTTGGCAGGAACCCTGTAGCAAAGAAAACTTCTCAGTAAGAGTTTCATCAAAAACGTTTGTTTCTACATTGTTCCCAAGAAGTCAAATTCTACCAAATCAGCCAGTAGTTTTGAAGAAAAACACCTCATCGATTCTAAGGCACATCTGTTTTCACCTAATGATAATCAAATGAGACAAAACACACTCATTCCATAACCCTGAGTGTGGTGGGAGTTTTTAAATAGATACACACACACACACACACACACACGTGAGTTTCTGCATTCTTTTTTGAGGAAGCATGTTGTATTTCATGTACAACTATAATGTTTGTACTTGCTATTCTGCTTAATCATCAACTGGATACATCAAGTACAAATATTTATCACCTAGTAACCATTTTGATCTCTACAAAGCATGCTCTCCACAATGAGCTAAAAGCAAAATGACTCAATGTCAACAATCAGATTACATACATAGTTGTTTCCCCAAACCCTACATGTGGAAGCTGCATTTCCCAAGTTCAGGGGGGAAAAAAAAAATCAATAAATAAAAAAAAGATGACAAGTATGAGTTTCAGTTCTTCATAACAGGAGAAAAATTCATACTTCATTTTTACTGGTTGTATTTATATTATAAATTAAATTTATATGTATATTTGGAAAAATAAAATAAAATCAAATCCAAGAATGAAGTTTCTACATATAGCCAAATCCTATGACAGATGACTGCTCAATGACTACTACTTAAGTCAGACTTGCCAACTAATTTAATCACAGCAATTATCCACTCATTATTCTAGTTAGACTGCTTGACCTTATTTGCCTGATCCAAAAACTGATTACAATTTCTGGGATTATCAAGTCTGCTGCAGTCCATGCTCCCTCCCCCATTCCAGAGGGTCTAGACTACCTAAACACAGGCTTGTATTCTCGGAAAAGCCAAGGTCTTAAGGTAAGATGTCAGAATTTATAGACATGACTAATTCTCTAAACCCCTACTGACCTCGTATTAGGTGCCAAGCCTCTTGGTGCCATTGAACACAGACAAGGGATTGCCATAATGCTCACATTCAGGAAGTGACCCTGAATTTTGTGCCATTGATCCTTGCTACCTAAATATAACAGAGTAATTCTATATTACTCCAGTTTAACCAGCCACAGTTCACTTTTAAATAATCATAAAAGTAAAAACTTACCTTTTTTTTTAATTTCCTCTTTCTTCTTTCTGAAAGGGTGGAAACATGTAGGTAAAATAATTTAAAGTCATTTTAGCACATTCAAACAACATCTACTTTAGAAAAAAAGCAAGATCTCAATGGAAGAAAGGATTAACAGAACTGAACAAACCAGTACTACTGAGTGGAAGACTGCTTTGAAAAAATCCTCTACAGTCTATAAGGAACAATATACAAAATGTACAAGTTTGCAGCTGTCAAAACAAATCTTTTTTTTTAAAGATCGTTTTACCCAAGGATCAAATTTGAACAAAATTAAGAATTTGTATAATTTTATCTTCAAAGACACATATTTTTGTAGCTTTGGAATTCTTGGACTTGGTTTTACTTACCTGTCATTCTCATGAGAGTCTTCCTGTGGAATTTGTAGTGGTAGAAATGATAATTCACATTCCTCTGGCCTAGAAAAGTATTGGTATTTACTATCATGTAAACCAATATTCTAACTGCTAGGCAGACTTTTATCCGAGTTAAGATGATTTTAAGGAGATGCTGAATATACAGAATTTATCTCCTCTTTAACTTGTAAGAGGGACATACATCATATCTGAGTTAAATCTGTCTGCAATTAAGAAGTCAAGATAGCTAAATTACTGTTGTCTGTATTTTTATCACATTAATTATTGCATTTTCCTCAAGAAAATTAGAAATACTAGGAAAAACATAACAGCTTATGGCATACTTGAGATCTGCCAGTGTTTTGATAAAAGCAAAATCCTTCCGCTGACTGGAGGGCATCCAACGGTGCTTTTCAGCCAAATCTAGAGTCCTTGCACCAAAACCAAACATAGCTGAGAACCCAAACCGCAAAAGCTTGCTTGGAGTACTGAAAGTACAGACATCTACTGGTTGAATATGTCCTAAAATTTCAAAGGTAAAGATCAGAAATTACAAATAACATCTGTATTTCAAACTGAATACAACCTACTATTTATTTTTCACCTAATTTAGCTGTGGGTAAAAAACTCCAGACTATTTTCTCTTTAGGAAGTCAAGTTTTACTAATGGAAACCAGAATCAATCTAGATATAATGAAGACTCTATGAGAGTAGTCATTTTGGAGAACGTCCAGATGCTTCAAAATGTTAAAAAAGTTACAGCGAAAATTCAGCTACTTCATCAGGTTGCGAAGGGTCTGAGTCTTAAATCTATTCAAGTTTTCAATAATTAGGATCAAAGAAAACGTAATATTGCTCTATAAATATTTGCAACCATTTCACAAAATATCTGTAATGACTGAACAGAGTACTGTAAGAAATATGGCAGCTCTTAAATATAGGTTTCAAACACATTTATGTCTACAGTTATAGAATTTGGACATCTAATTCTGTTCAAGATAGGGTATCTAATTTTTTTTTTCTGTACTAGAACCTATGTGGTTTCCATTAGATTGAATGTGTCTGATTAAAAAAGACAGTTTTAGACTTTGCGTGTAAAGGCTTGTGTATTACGATCTAAGAAACAGAGCAAAGCCTCTTCCACCGCTGATTGCAAGGTCCAGAAAACAGGTACTCAAGATAGAACTTCCCCAAAAGCATCCTAAAGAAAAGTTGCTTTCAGAGGAATGTTAACACTGCTCAACTAAGTATTTGCTGTTTCCTAAGACCTGAAAATAAGATTTGTGCTAGCAACCTAGTTTTTTCCTTTACAATAATTAAATTTTCACATTCAAAAACCTATTTACTGTGCAGACCAAATGGCAAGTGATACAGTTTTTTCTGCTAATAAAGCTCTCTTATGGAAACTGTTAGTATTTAGAAGAAATGCACACAGAGCTAAAAACATGAGTGACACTTTCTCAGAAATATGACAATACTTTCCTGAAAAATCCAATCCTAACCACTTCCTTAAGCTGAAAGTATTGTGTATTTTCCTACTGCCTTTATCAGGTACCTTCATTAAAATAATCAGGTGATTATGCAACCTATCATTGCATAATAACACACACAGAGTAAAACTATTCAAACAACCAAGTATGAAAAACATTACTTTTTGCATTAAAAGAATATCAGTAATAGGACATGAATGCCAAAATCAGACATTATTCTGTGGCAGATTTTAGTTACCAGAAGATGAGGTCCACAACCTTTGCTACTAAACTACTCAAAGAATCACAACCTTTCCAGTACACTATAAATCAGGATAGAATCATTTGGGTTTAAAATTCTTGCAACATAGTTTGCAGTAATAAAGTAAAATGGTACGTCTTTATTAAACCACTGTATGGCAAACTTCTAAATGCTGCTTCATTATTTAAAATCTGATAACGTATGTAAAAATATTTACCCATCACAATGTGCAACGTTGCAGTCACTGCATGCTTAATACCATAGAGAGTGTGGGCCAAAATATTAGTAGTACCTGTAAAAGCAAACACAAATAATTGTACAAATAAGAGAGAGAGAATAGCAAGACAAAAAATATACAACATTTTTGGAATGGAGAAACTGAGACATTTATTGTGTTTTCAAAGAAAGGAAGCCTTCCCAGAAATTACTCAGCCTTGGTAACAGCAGAAATGCTGAATAGTACAAATTAAAACAATTAAAACTTCCAGAGGTCTATAAGATTCTCTCTGCAAATTCACTCATAAGTGCCATAAAAACCAGATGGGTGGGTGGGTGTGTGTTGTGTGAGATTTGCAAAAGTTGCCTTTTTTTTTTAAACCATGTCTCTAAAATTAATTTCTTCTATACCTAAGCGCTGTACTGAGGAACTGTTCTAGAAGGCAGATTATGTAATAAAATAGATTTGGGGAATATTTTTAAGTTGGAAAAATAATACAATACCCAGACAGTGTAAAACTGTATGTTTGCCAGACAAAATTCTACTAGATCTAGTCTAAGATAGCTGTTGTGCCTCTTGCAGGCTACATTTTAGATTCTTAGAAGCAATAGTGAGTAATTACTGCACGTCAGCTTTACATATGAGAACACATTAAGGACTGAAAAACAGAGCAAACATAGAATTTGATGTGTCTGACAAATTGTTGACTTGCACTCAGCGCATTAAAATTGACCCATCTAAGTAGTCTTTGTCATTGCCTGGACATTGGCAGACCAGTTGTACTACTAGCCACTGCTAGAAGAGATAAATTTCTTTTGAAACAAAGGAATGAGTAGTAAATCAGCTGGTAAATAGAAAAACGAGTTAAGAACTAGCAATGTGACCACAGAGTTGGAAAAGAGAGTGGAAAACCAGCTACCAGTTTGTAAAAGAAAGCAGCATGGTTCTGGAGACCCATATTTGGTGGTGACTGATATGTCAAGTCACTTCAACTATGTAAGAGACATGGATATATATGTAAATTTTGCCCTTCTGCTTTAACGCATAGGACAAAATACTGTGTTTGAGCTGACTTTTCAAGATCAGTTTATTTTAAAAGTCCTGAACAAGAAATGGTTGCGTCTTTCCTATCAGGTATAGTTTTAACAGAAATTCACGTTGATTTTTCTCATTGATGAGATCTCTGGTGTTTCTTACCCAAGCAGCAGGGCCATAGGATTCACTTCTGCAAAAATAAAGAACCAGGGCCCGCCACCAAGTAGGCAGAATATTGAGCTTCTTCATATCACTGATTAAGGGATGAATAATTCAGTAACAGATTAATTAAAATAACAAAAATTACAAAAGACCAATTTAGAACCTAACATTCCATAAAGGAATGAGTTCAGCTAGATTTTCCAATAATTTTCTTGTTGCTTGAATTATTTAATGTTACAGCAGCAATAGGCAATTCTGGACGCTAAATTTCCCTTAAGTTTTATGGAAGCATTTATACTTGTCTTTCAAAAGTGAAGAAGAGAAGAGAGGAAAGGGAAAGACTGTAACATTTCAAACAAGAGGCACTCAATATTTGAAATAAGCACGTTAAAAGCATCATGTACCAGACTGAAAAATCGTGTTCATCCCAAAACTCTGCAATCTTTGATGTCATGTTAGTGGTAGAAAAACAATCCTAAATTTGGAAAGACTGATGTACACAGTTTCAAAGCTCTAAAGCCATCCTGTCATTCAGGAGTATATGCTTCTATTTTTTTCAGTAATTTCTCTGAATAAGAATTTGTAAAATAACTGGGAATTGTATCTCAGTATCTCACAGACTACCTGTAACATCCTTAGAGTACCTTAGTCTCTGAAAGTAATTCAGAATACTCAGAACCTCATGGAAAGCCTTCCTAACATCAGAGAGAGGAGCTCTGAGTAAGACTCTCGAGGTTCCTATGTGAGGGAAATAAGTGACGTACTTCTATTAAGATAATAGATACAAAACATTCTTTGAAGTTTACATCTCCAGTGGTACATGGAAGAAATCAGGTTATGTACAGTTTTATTCCCTGAACAATTAAAAAAAATAATAATGTCATTTATATATTTAACAGAATTTTATAGGTGGCTATACTACTAATTTCTTTCTCCTTTTCCTAAAAATAGTAATATTTAAATAAACAAAGCAAATTGGGATTATGAAGTACTTTGAAAGAAGAATAAACTGACAACTTAAAAAGCTAAATGCAAGTCATACTTTTTTCTCCCAAAAGAAAGTCTCTCTAGGTACTCTAATGTGAAGTCCAGTTTAAGAATATCACAATTTCACTCATTTATATCCAATAACTTATATCCAACACCTCCACTAAAAGTAATTGGAACTTTCCTTTCTATACAATACACATAAAAAAGAAAAGGCAAATATGTAGCTCTAGATACCATTTACTATGCAAAATAGTGAGTTTTTCAATCAAGTGAACATAAAATACAGTTCTGTAAGGAAAATTCAGGGCCAAAAAAATTAGGTTTGACCTAAAAAGCAATTCTTCACAGAATAATGCAAGTACATGCCCAACACCATTTCATGTTTGAATGACTTATGACATTTAACCTCTACATTCAACTAATTCTGCTTAGCCAGCGAAGCTAGCTAAAGAAGTAGCTCAAAATACTCAAATGTTTCCTTCAATCAAATTTTTCCAATTCTTAGCAACTTTCATGGGAACCTCTCCAAAACAAAGGAAATCACACACACAAAGAGCAGATCATTACAAGTCATGCAAATTGTGGTTATTTCCTGTAAATTGACAACAAGGAACTTGTTATTTAGAAAAAATATTTTTCTTTGTCACTGAAGCTCAAGCTAATAAAAGACTGCAAGGCAGAACATACTTCTGAAGATCAGGCTGGTGTGTCTTAAAACTGGGATTCCTCATTTAAGTAAGAGTAATTTACCAATACAGATGGCAGCAAGATAACAAATGACCACAGCTGAAGTCAATACCAATCTTCATTGACTTTAAGGAGAGTTAAATCTCATTCTTACTAAACAGGATAGGCACAAGTAATTGCATCCTTCTCTTAAACCTGTGGAGCGCATTAACATTTGCAGAAGTAAACAAGGCAAAATCCCACCCTTTCATGACTTGTGAGAAAATAAAACAAGTTCTGCCTGTGTTCGAAAGGATAAGTAAGGCATCCGC